ATATAGAGTGTGGAGTATAAGCTTAGGCTTGGAGAGTACGATTATTAACAATTAAAATATGAATATAAGTTAAAGTTTAAGGTGGACAATGTAATAAACAAAAATCTTGGCTTCACAACCAAGGGATGTTTACTGATATATTTCTAAGAAACTTATTCAATCTTATCAGTTATTCTATGTTATGAATTTCAAACTTTGAAGTTATGCGTTATTCAATTTTTGATTTGAAAGTATCTCTTTTTTTTTTCTTTGTCAACGATTTGAAAGAATCTCTTAGACGTGATTAGGATCACTGAATAAATATTTTCAAGTGTATCATTTTCAAAGTTATGTTACTTGATATTGTTGAAAAGCTAACGAATCAAAATCAGGAATCATCAATGACTATGATTAACGACTTTTTCATTAAAATTTTATAAGAAAATCAAAGCATAATATCTCCTAAGTTTTTAACACTAAATTATTGATATCTAATCAACAACCAAAGAAGTTCTACTAGATTGTTCTTAGAGAGCTCTTTGCCTCTAAGCGACATGTGAGTGTGAATGGAAACCCATGGATTATCATTTCATTTTAACTTTTTAAAAACCTATTATATTTGTGTCTTACCTTTTATGCAACTTTATTGCATATAATATCTACGAAAGGTGTTATAAACATGGGTCGTGACTTTAAAAATGCCGACTCCACACCACTAGCTCACTACTATTACACTGATATGTGTTTCTTACTTGCAAAAACAAACTAAAAGATACATGTTTCTTAATTAAACTGGTTACATAGCAAATCCCAATCCAAAAACAATATTGTGGCTCTGTCTAATATAAACATCTCATGTTTTCGAATGAATGATTTCTTGTTACATTACTTTTATTTTATTTTTGTAAGGAAATATACTGAGCCGATCGAAGTCTGTACTAATCTCTCTTTATCGAGGCCAATTTCTTTACGGGTTTTTTATTAACAAAATGGACTAGAAAGTTCAAGTTAGGGATTTGGAGT